CCTGGCTTAAGTTGACAGGATATGTGTCACATTCCTCAGCAAACTACCTGTTATCTGCAGGAGAAATGCAGGCCCAAAATGCTGATAACAAGAATGCCAAGTTACCCTCAAGGAGGGCACTTTTTGTGACCCTTACCCAAACCAGATTCCAGAACTCAAGGAGATAAAGATAATTCTCTTTAATCATGAAATGTATAAGAACAGGTTCCAGTCAGGATGGGCCAAAGGGACTATGGGTATCATGACCAGTGGGGACTTGAAAGTCTGATTTCATCCTGCTGTCAGTCAAAAGTCAATGGAAAAAAAATGTGGCATATATACACAATGGAATTTTACTCAGCAATAAGAGAATAAAATCATGACATTTGCAGGGAAATGGATGGCTTTGGAGAAGATAAAGCTAAGTGAAGTTAGCCAATCTCAAAAATCCAAATGTTTTCTCTGATATAAGGAGGCTGACTCATAGTGGGGTACAGAGGGGGAACATGGGAGGAATAGATGAATTCTAGATAGGAAAGAGGGGAGGGAGGGAAAGGGAGGAGGCAGAGGATTAGCAAGGATGGTGGAATGTGATGGACATCATTATCCAAAGTATATATATGAAGACACGAATTGGATGTCAACCTACTTTATATACAAACAGAGATAGGAAAAATTATGGTATATATGTGTAATAAGAATTGTAATGCAAAAAAACCAAAGTACATGTATAAAAACACGAATTAGTGTGAACATACTTTATATACAAAGATATGAAAAAAATGTGCTCTATATGTATAATAAGAATTGTAATGCATTCCACTATTGTGTATTTAAAAAAAGAAAAGGAAAGGAAAAAAAAGTCAAGAAGTGGGCCTAGGCAGAAAGCTCTGGAAATGTCCCTGGAACCTTCAATAAAAAATGGAAGGCAGGAGGGGCAAGCCATCTCTGTCCTGAGAGGATCCATTCTTTCCTTTCAGAGTGTCCCCCTTTCCCCTTTCCAATCCCTTCTAATAAACTCATGCATTATTCTGGTGACATGTCTGAAATCTTTCTGACATGATTGCAAGAATCGAAGTGTGAAGGGGGGCCGCAGCACTGCCTCAGTTTCTTGGAAGGCCTCTGCCCTGTAACAAAGCCTATACTGGTTGCCGAAGGAGACTTTGCAATGAAGACTCTATTGTTTAGGAGAGGAGCCAAGGAGTGGATCTGGGACAGCAGTGTGAGTACATGGCATTGCCTGGATCACACTGAGTCCTGCTAGAGCCCAGGCCAGTCCCATCACAGCCGAGAAGCTGGGCAGAAGCCCCTGTGAGCGACTGCAGCCAGCTGCCAGCCCCTTGCCCCAGCAAAGCCCCCATGTTCCCAGACTTCTCTGCATGGGATGGAGTGGCTGGCCTCATGGATACCCTTTGGGGTGGTGACTTAGAGAGGTGGGACTCACTCTCCATCCAGGAGAGACCTCAGCATCCATGTTCCTCTCCCATTCTATCACCTTTAAAATTTGTCTTTTCTTACCTGCCCTATATCTATATCAGATAGTGGTATTTGTTTCTTTCTGAACCAACCCACATTCGAAGAGCATTGTCGGATACTATCAGGAGTGAAGCGCAGTGCTCGTCCTCTGCTCATGTGCTGGTTTTGGGTCATTAGCTCCAATGTAGGCTTTTTTGTTTGTTTGTTACCCTGTTGTTTCAAACACTCTGGGATTTCCCCCCTCCTTGGGGAGGGCTAAAACAAACTAACAAAACCCTACAAGGGTAAGGATGATTCTCCCAGCTAGATGGAACTTTTTAACTCTTATATTGAATTTAATATACACACAAATGAGTGCAAGGATCATAAGCCAACAGTTTGATGAATTTTCACAAACCTGACACAGCACTCATATCAAGGACCTGAACATAAACAGCACCTCCTCGTGTCACCTTCTGGTCACCCCCACCCTCTACAAACACCTACTATTCTGTTTGGGAGAACAGGTTCATTTTAGCAGGCTGGAGTTTGTCCTCAGTTCATGTGACAACATGACTTGCAGTCACAGTTTGGAATAGGAGAAGCCACCAGGGCTCCGCAGGATTGACTTGGCACTGGTTTGACTGGGGAAACACAGGTTTTTGTCTTTCTTTCTCTCATGATGGAGAAAATCTCAACCCGGCAGATATTTAGATGCTGTATCAGTCACCCAGGAGGAGTGCTGGGCAGGGCTGCCCCATCTTCATTGACAGAAGCTCCTCCTCTCTTTGGGGTGCCATCTCTGTGTCAGCCTGGTGATCTACATGCAGGGGATGGGGGGTAGAATTCCCTCTCCGCACACCTCCAGAAGCCCCACCATGTGCACCAGGCAGCAGGAAGCCCGGAGGCAGGATGACTCAGCACTGTCTACGTGCATTGCTCGAAGCTGAGTTCTGTACCCTGGAAAACCAGCATGTAGCACTTGGTTGGACTTGCCCATTCAGCACAGCCCTGGCTGCTTGGAAACCCTGCCCTCCAGCACCAATGCTGGGCCCTCTGTTTACCTATGACTTGGAGCACAGGCCAGCCGCCAGCCCCAACCTGTCTGCCCCCTGAACCATCCTCCATCTTCCTCTTCCACTTGTCCCTCTGAGGGCTGACCACACCACATGCACCCATTTCACTAATGAAAACCAGATTGCTTTTGAGCTTACCCCATGCAAGTCCGGGCATCATCAGACTCTGCCCTCTGCTTCCTCAACAAAGAGCTGCTCTAATTGTACAAGGCAGAAGGGCAGAGGTCTGACCAGGGCCAGTGGTCAGAAAGAAATGCTCTGGACCAGTTGATAGGGTTGCATAGAGAAGCCCTCATGGAAGAACACTGTGTCACAGGTGGCAGCAAATCTTTTCCTCCCACTCCTAGACACAGTGACTCTCTGTTCCCTATAAACATCTCATTCTGCCCGGGGGGACTGTAACAGAGAGGCAGGGAGCCCTGCAAAGACTTGATTTGGATTTCCAGTAGAAGAGGTGGGGTAGAAATATCTTGAGAACCATGTGGTCAGCGGTCCTCTAACAAAGCATTCATAAGATAAGACTCGCTTGGGGACTGAATTTTTTGCAGTCCCCCAACCCCCTCTTTCCGGCCCATCCTGACTGAGGCTCCAAAATATGCATTTTTGGACAGCATTCCAGGTGATTCTGATGTAGGTAACCCCAAGCCACAGTTGATGAACACTGATCTAGACAGACACAGCTCACTCCCCTCCGCACCAGATTCAGAGAGGAAGGTAAGGCTCACATGACTCACAGAAGATCGTACTGTTTAAGGCCCAGAATTCAGGACCCATCCTTTTTTGTGAAGGTCACAAACACTCCCACCATCAGCATACAGACACAGCCCACCAGAGGGGTCCACAGCCCAACTCATTTGATTCTTCCTTTGTGAGGTCTCTCACCCAGCCCTTTCCTTCCCTGTTCCTGCCATTACTACAGACTGGTTGTGAAGACACAGAATAGGTCTCCTACAAAGGCCACTTTCCCGATTCACTGTCATCTGCCCCCTCTCCCCTCCCACTGAGTTACTCATCCTAAAGCAGATATACAACCTGCCCTGCCCCTCCATGTATAGAACAAGGTGGGAAAAGCCTGCCCCCCCATGTGACCCCACCTATCTTTCTGACCTTAGAGCCCATTATTCTCCAATAAACCCTCTTTCTTCATGTGCTTCCTTCAAGTGCCACCTTGCTCTGTCTTCCCTTTGCGCATTCAATGTCCTTATCACCTCGACCAACAGACCTTCCTCTACCTTCACTGAATCTCCCCATCTTCCAAGGCCTTGGGAAAAGACCAGTTCCTCCAGGAAGCCTTCCTTAACTATTCAGCCCTCTGAGCAATCAGAGAACCGAACTATTTATTTATTATGTTGTTATTACCTATTATATTCTGCTTTGAACTGTGAACTATAAGTAATTTCCAGTTACAGACTACAGTCTACCCCTTAATTACATACTCATTCAGCAATGTGCTTTGCACATCAAAACATTAGGGACATTAGCAATAATGGAGCTACATAGTGCCAGAGCCAGGTAGCTGGTTGGTCAGTTCAGTGACTTTTCTACACCTCCTGGACTAATGAACACCCCAAGGCTAACCTTTGAAAATCAAGGTTAGGGCTTTCCCTGGACTATGTGTCCACTGCTGTAATCAACTTCCCTGACTGTCACCACCCCACAGCCATTGCATCTCATAGCTTTAACTTTGGCAGCATAACTCTGCCTGCTTCAAATGCCTCCTGGGCCAGTGTGGTCAGTTCCACTCTCCAGAACAATATATCTTGTGTATCTTCTATGACACTGTCCCTAACAAAACATTATTATTAAGTTTCTTGTGCTTGCCAGAGGAACAGGTGCCTGGCTTCCCATTCCCACTCCAGCAATGACAACATTCACTGCAATGACAATTCAGTGCAATGACATGGTCAAGCCAACCTGGAGCTGCCTATCTTGCAGGCCTGCCAGAGTGACTACATTTTAGTGAACCACAGAAACTCTGGGGCATACCTGATGCTCCTCTCTCCATGTAAGACAGCATTTCTCCTCTACCAAGGACCAACCATCACCCCCTCATCCATCACTTGCTTATGAAGATGGAAACAGGAAGTTAATTCCAGATACACTGACAGCTCAAGTTCTAGGGCCTGAGCCAAACTTTCAGAAAGGAGTCCTTTATTCTTTGTTTATTGTAGGAAAAATGTCCTATGAGGAGGCAAGTTTCTCTCTTGCCCAGTGCCCTTGCAGTCTGGAGGTACCCAAGGGTTTGGTAGAAATCCCTGCAGGAATCTGGAAGCCTTAACCCTGTGACTCCCAGCTCAAGTGCACAGAGCAGGCTGTGTTGGGAAATGCAGTGTGTCACCCTCTTGTGGAACCGTTCCTTGGGGATGCCTTCATCCCTTCTCTCAACAATACCAGCACAACTTTTCTGATCCCCTAAAAGCATGAAGTTTCTGGGTTTGCATTAAATACTACCATCTCCTTAAAAATATATATTTAAAAATCTCTACTTACCAACATAGGTCCACTTGGATCCTGCAAAGAACAAAAGGAATCAAGTAAGTATAACTGAACTGAAGGAGTTAGGGAAAACATGACAGATTTTGTTTTGAAATGGGTGAGATTGAAAAGGAGGTGGGTACCCAAAACTTAAGACTTCTGAGTTTAAGTCAGAACCACAGCTTCTCAGAACAACTGTACTCCACTCGCAGGCTCAGGATGGGGAATTCATGCAGGGCTCGTGTGTTCTTTTTCAATTTTTTTTTAAATAGTTGTAGATGGACAGCATGCCTTGATTTTATTTGTTTATTTTTACGTGGTGCTAAGGATCGAACCCAGTGCCTCATACAAAATAGGCAAGTGCTCTGCCACTGAACTACAGCCCCAGCCCTCATAGGTTCCTGAATAAATGCCTCCCAGATATCTTAGAAAATCCAAAATGTAATTGTCCAAGTAGGTAATACTTTCACATGGCTCAAAAACCTAAAGCAGCCAGAGGGTCCACTCATTAAAATCTCTTCCCCAACCCTTGCTCCCTGTTTCCATGGGACACCTGGTTTATCAATGGACTGTGAGCCTTTACACAGGATTGCCACACATGTCTGTATTTATATCCCCCTCCCTTTCCCTCACATAAACATCAACCTTCTGCAAGCTCTGTTCTATATCTTGCTTTCCCCCCACTCAACATACCCTGGAGAACACACCAGCACACAAAGAGCAGAGCACTAATCAGAGATGGGAGACATTTCCTCTAAGAAAGCTACCATCCTTCTCTGAGTTAGTATCCCCAGAGGCAGTAAGAACGTGGAGGAGTGGTTCTGCCAGGAACATAAAGAGAGTCACCTACCACCTCCCACTCCACACCCTTTACGACACACAGGTCCTTCGTTCCTACATGAAAAATGTATTTTTAAAAAGTCATTGCAGAGCTGTGCGCCTATCACCCTACCTGCCCACCTTCCTCTTCAGCTCTGGAAGAAGACTGAGCCCCAAGCTGAGCTGCATCCCCATGTGTCTCAGGGGACACATCCAATGAGGAGAGGTGCAACTTCTAGGCCCCTCTCTCCAAGCATCGCCAACTGCGATGGGAGGGCACCGCTAGAAAAGAAAGAACCTCACATCCCCTTTCTCTCTCTGTTTCTAGTAAAACTTAACCGGCATGCAATCTGGTTATTTATCACAGGGGCATTTTCTGCTGGAACCAATGGTGATTTTTAATAGTTAAAAGAGGACTTTGTTGTTCTTGTCCTATTCTATTTTTTTGCCTCCATGGGAAAACCAAATTTGTATATAACCCCCAGTTTACTACTGGCCCTTTCACTGAAATGTTGAAAAGAGAGAAATATTACCTTGGAACCAACCCAGAGAAGACATTGGACCTCTTTTTTGGAAAATTTTCCTTAACTGTTGGTTTGAGGGTCCACCATTGAAATACAATCATGGTTTTCAGAGGAAGGAAGCCAGATGATTGCTGCTTTGCCAGGCAGAGCACATGAAGGTCCAAGAGGTAAAAGCCCAAGTAAGAGGGGCATTCATCCTCTTTCCAAAGAGAAATCCTGGATGTCCCCAGAAAATATCTGCTGCCTCTGAGCAGCCCTGCACCAGCCAGGAGGTTGCATTGCACCTGCCCCAAAATCAACTCCCAGATTTAATACATCTTCCACTATTCCTCCCCAAAGCTTGCTAAGCTGAGGTTTCCCCCAGTACTGTAGCTCTCATTCTCAGATGAGGCACCAGCATAATACTCTGGAAAACTCCAAGACATACATTGTAGAGGACATCAGGGACTGTAAAGCCTCTGACACAGGAGTGGGGACTTGTTGAAACGCAGCAGCAATTCCTGTCCTCTGCTCTCTGAACAAGCCCTGCTTGGCCCTGAGGACTCAGTGTCTCAGGTACAAACGTTAGTGTCAGGAGGGGCATAGGGAGGGGAGAAGCCTCACTATAAAATGAAGGTAAGAATGGTGAGTCAGTAGAGTTAGTAGGGTTCATCAGTGGAGATCAGGGTCCACCCTGACTCATCATTAGCTCCAATCCAACCTTAGGAAGCCATTCTGAAAGTGCACACACATTCGTGGAAGTGTTTGCTTTACTGAGAAAGGGCACCTTTCTCAGTAAAGGTTTCCCACCTCTAACTTTAGGGGCAGGAATTTTAACAATATTAAACTGACCCTACAAGGTACTTTAAGCCAAGGCTTCACTGGCTTCCCGAGGGAGTAGTTCTTTTTCCAGAGGAAAATCATTCTCCTCCTCAAAAGTTCATCTGTTTCTTCCAGGAGACTTGGGCAGCTCAGCCAATGCCTGTTAGGACCTGCATACCCTGCTGGTGCTAGGCAGGGAGATGCCCTGGAGGGGATGCCATGAGAAAATGAAGATGTGGGCAGGGGTGCATGGACCTGTTTTCTGTCCTGGGTACTTCCATGAGTAACCATCATCTGTCGTCCAGCAGCCAAAGACTTCCCAGCTCTCCGGAACAGGTTCAGCTAGAGCAGACTCTCCAGAATTCACTGAAATGCCCCTTAGCAACAGCAACCAAGAGTTCCAAGGTTTTCTCCAGAACCTGGAGATCATGATCCCATCCTCCCCTGGCCCCAGCTGCTTTTCTTGGACATTCCTCGGTGCCAACTGAGGGAAGCTTCAATGCTCCAAAGAAAGCAGACCACACTTTGACCCTATTACTCAGCTAGCCCCTTTACCCCAGCCTTGTGTTAATGCTGATGTTCTATACACCTCAGTGAATTTTACTTTGACCTTGTCTCCTGAGGCAGTCAAAAAGCCAACATAGCAAACAATAAATAACAGGGAGGAAAAAAAAAAAAACCAACTTGTGTTCTCAGAGTCTAGGGTTAGGCTAATCAGTGTGAGATGAGGTCAGGATTTCTACTGCAAACTTCCCCCACCTCAACTTGGAAAATGAGGAGGGAGGGGCCAAGGAGAAGGGGAGGAAAGAAAGAGAAAAGGAGGGGTAGAGAAAAGGAAGAGAATATGGAGCAGCTCCCCAAAGTAAGGGAAGCAATGAGCTTTCAGAAAGGAAAGGGGGGCAATGAATGGCCTTTCTCTCTTGAATCAACTTGAGACTGAAAAGAATTCTAGCAAACTTCAGTCTCAGAACAGCTTCCTTGAGAGGAAAATATATGCCAAAGTTTGAAGTTTAAAAATTAATTTCTGGACCAGGGATAGAGTTCAGTGGTAGAGTGCTTACCTAGCATTTACAAGGTCCTGGGTTCAATTCCCCAATCCCTCAAAAAAATTAATTTCCACTTTTATGTAACTCCTTTCTCCTTCATTCTGTCTCTCCCACATGAAGGAAATTATATTAAGCAGATCATGCCAGCCAGAAGATTAGAAGTTACTTTAGAGCAATCCCACAGCTACTCATGCCCAGCTCCTTGCCTTTCCCCATGTGCACAATGACCTTCAAGAGGAAAGGAGGCTCGGAGCTTTGATGCTGCTGAGCAGGACCAATTTCCCATTACCACTGCTTAGCCAGGGAGAATCGATTTTCAGCCATTATAATCCCTCTTGGTTCTTCTACAAATGTTCCAACCCAGCCTGGGTCCAGGAACTGTCATACCCACAAGTGTGTCCACAATTTGGGACTAACTTTGTCAAGGGTAGGAGCTCTCATCAATTACCCAGGACTCATTCACAAAAGTCACCATCTACTCCCCAGAAAAGTGCTCATCCAGCTGATGGAGAGAGGGGTAAGAGCTTAGTGCTATCTTTTTCTTATTCCAAGTGATTCATTAACATGGCCTTGGACTTGAGCCCACACTGCAGGTCCTGCTACCCACCTCCACCTCCTCCTGTTCCATTCTGCACCCTCAGCCTCCAGCACTTCCAGGTAAAGCACCCTAATTACAATTATAAATAAGGTGTACATGTGTGTGCATGTGTGTGTGCACATACTGTACATTCAAGATAATAGAATCCTCCTGGAGAAAAGCAATGTTTAACAATGGGATGCGTTATCCCTTTGACTTGGACATAACAAACAAACAACAACAAAAACCCTACTACTGTCTGAGGGTTGTGCAGTAGAGAGGCAGCAAACAGTTCCTGGTGCTCACACCACTCAGATGCCCAGTCTCTTCTCTACTGTCTGCATGTGGATTAGAGGCGCGATACTTCAAATCCTGGTTCGGTCTCTCCTCCCTGCTCAGCGAGTTCCCAAGCCACATCTCCAGAGATCAGATGACAAAAAAGCACCATTAGAAAGACAACGTGCTTCCGGATCCATTCAACCTCAGCAAAGGAAAACCGAGCATCCTTTCTTTAAAATGTGTTATTCGATACACTGCTTTCCCGGCTCCCCCAGCAATAATTTTACTTTATCATTAAGAGCCCCGCAGGAAATCCTGCCCAGGTGGGGCTGAGTGGGGTAAAGAAGGAATGGAAAGAAGGAAAGAAGGAAGGGAGAGAGGAAGAAAAAAGATAAACTTCACCGTTCAGCGGGGCTGGGCTGCAAGGCTGCTGATTCAAGATCACCAGCAGGAGGACAGTCGCGGCACGCAGGCTATAGTGGGGCATCTTCTGCTCCTGGCCGGTGGCTCCTGGCTCCCGGTCGGCAGCTGGCAACAGCCACTTGCTTTCGGACAGCACAGCGCAGCGCTCGCAGCCAGCGGGGCGCGCACCAGGACCGCGCGCGCGTAGCCGGGAGCCGTGGCTAGCACGTCTGCTTTTCGGGCTCCTGGCTCCCCGCGGCCGTTTTTATGGAGCAACTCAACCCCAAACACATGATGTCATCGTGCGGGGAGAAAAAGAACGCCCAGCCTACCGAAGGGCTCGGGCCGCAGGTCCGAGGTGAGTTGCAGCCTTGACTTCAGCTGTCCTCCGTAGCACTCTTCAGAGCCACTGCTGACCTGGGGGGAGCGAGTGAGTTCTCCGTGGCGGCTGCCTGCAGGTGTGGCGAGATCCGCCTACCTATCTCGGTCCCATCCAAAGAGGTGCGTCTAGGGATCACTTAAGTGGTCGTGGCCTTCATCTATCACTGCTCCTATTTAGAAGCCACTGAAGCACAATGTTATTTAAGTCAAAGTCTTCAGGGCTCCAAGCATGCTCCTGTTTGGACTGACCACAGGTTCTGGACTGTACAAGATAGCTAACGGGCTACATTCAATTCAGAAATTCTGTGACGTGCACAGAACATCCCGACTAGGTTCTTAACTTCAAAACTTAAAGGTAAAGAAATTGGGAATCAGAAAATAGTTTAATGGGATATATGTGAACAGCTTTATTCAACAATTAGAATTTATCCTAATAAAAAGTGGACAGTCAAGGCCCATGCTAGTTCACGACATCAATTCATCCTTACTAAGAAGCTGATCTCTGGGGTGGCAGTGGAAGAAAAGGACTTACATTATTTCCCAAGCATCTACTGTGTGACAGAACACTGCATCATGTGTGTCTAGATGTTGTGCGTCTTGGTGCAGATTAGTGTCTAAGCTCACTTTTCTCACATTTCTGTATGCTTTGCAATTTGTGCATTCATATTTCTAGTCAGATCCCCTTTTAGTCCATATGCAGCCAGCCATTAAGTCAAAGGTTTTATTAACCTGCTGTCCCCAATACTTCCTAAATCTTCCTGCTGCTGTTACTGCCACTTGCAAATCCTACCACTGAGGTCATTGTGTTTCTAGCTTCCGGAGGCCTTGTGACTATCTCTGCTCTGCTCCTGATGCTGGGCTTGGTTTCCATCCCACTCAGGGATCCCAACCCTATTTCCTACACACATTGCTCAGAACACATTGGCTGCATAAAGATGCCACCACAGTCCTGATACATAACCCCTGGGTTTGTGACCTGGCCCATTATGCCCTCTTCTCTTGACCACTCTCTTCTCTAGCCAGACCAGACCTTACCAATCTCAAGTCCATTCTGACCCTCAGCTTAAGCAGACTCTTAGGCTGGCTGTAGTGTCCTATGAAGCCTCTTTTTCACATGATTTTGGTGGGAGCAAATATCTTCTCTCCTGACAACCACCAGGAAGTAGATGCCACCCACATTTCAAGGGGTGTTACTGTTCTGTTCCTATCGGCTCAGCTATTGTGTGAGTAATAAAGAGCTCTGCAGTCTCTTTAAGGAAGTTGTTACAGTAAGAATCTTGTCACAAGTACTTCCAGACCACAGGAGGCTTAAGGATGACCTTTTCTGCCTGATAAAGAGCCTTGAGCAAGCTCTGGAGTGGCGAAGGAGTATTTGCTTGTGGTTCTTGTTCAGTGTCTGATTTGTCCTCAAGGGCAGTCAGTTTAGAAGATGAGATGGATTAGAGAACCCAAGAGCCTGGGGAGGAGCCACTGCAGGTTCAGAGATGCAGAGACTGAAACTGTTGGGGTGAAATCATTTGCCACACATTTCACAATTAATTCAAGGTGGTAAACTGGCCTATGCACACACCTGCTGTTATTCCCATGCCAAGTATTTTTCCATTATATCTGGTTAAATGTTAAGTTCTATTTAACCTTGAACGTGCACTTCTAAGGGATCACCAAAGATGAGGGAGTTAAAAAGGGGGAAGGGATAGACTTAGTAGGCCAGTAAAGCTAGATTGTGCACTAGGGTTTATGGAGAGAAAAAGGAATGAAAAGTTTACTGCATATCTAAATCAAAAGAGTAGATAGCAAGTAAAAAAGAATAAAGAATATAAACTGAGACCTAGTTGCCCTAAATACTTTGAATGAGCTTTAAAAGGAGAGGAAAAAAAGATATTCTTAGGTAATCAGAAGGGGAGGGCAGGAAGCCAGCAGAAATTGGTGTAATGGTCAAACTTCAAAAGTATTCAAGCTGAAATGTCAAGGGTCCCTCCAGCAAACAACACACACCTAATCAGCTTAAATTCCCGACTCTGGGGATCCTTTCCTTGCTCCTGGAAACTTGTGTAGATGAACTTGTAAGAACTTGCTCTGCCTTCAGCAGGCAGGGCTATTATCAGCCAATAAATAGCCCATTACCTGATGAGATGAGTTATAATGGAAAGTGGACCTTCTGTACACAAAGTGTAGTAAATGGCCATCAAGTGTCACACCCAGGCTCCAGGGCACAGTGCCCCTCTAGAATATTACCATTTGAATAGACAGGAGGGTGAGGCTGGTGAGTCAAAGGGCAGAGGAGTACCGAGGAAAGAATGCAGGTTTGGTGTTAGGAGGTCTGGGCTGAAGTGCCTTGCCCACCACTTCCTCACTGTATGACCCTGACTGGCACACTTTCTTCACCTGGAAAGAGCAGGTGGTAATCCCTGCCTGTGGACACTGACAGAACTGAGCTAAGGCTGGAAGGAGATAAGGCAAGTGGAAACACTTATGCTCCTCCATTCATTCATTCATCCTCTGTGTGCTAGGCACTGCATTGGGCATAAAACAAATAATCTCATGAATAACTATAGAACTATAATTTTAGTAAGTGCAATGGAAGGTTGATGTATAACCCAAAGGGCCCCATTCAGTTCTGGGGCAGTGACAGAAGACGTCATCAAGTGTGAGATTAGATTCTATGACTTTATAAAGCCTTTGAAATGCATAACCACTCCAGGCTCCTCTTTCCCAAAGATGGTGCTGTTGGTGGTATTTGCACCTTTCATCAGCTAATTGTTGGACTTTTGAGTAGAAAGTTTAGATAGAGGGAATTTCATTTCTTAAGAATGAACTCTTCAAATAGTGTCACTCAATTGGGAATGTGCCTTTGTATGAAGCAAAAGAAGAACTGCTAAGAAAGAAAGAGAAAAGAAAAGGCAAGGCAGGACTGCTGGGAGGAAAACTAACATTTATTGGGCATCTACAGTTTGCCTGGCCATGCATGACCCTTCACTCTCACAGTGACCTGTGGAGACAGTGTTAGGTTTATTAGTCTATGTATGAAGAATCTGAGACTTGCAGAAGCTAAATCCTTTGCTAACACAGGTTCACGGGCTTTTGAATGGCAGAGACTAGATTCTTAGCCCAGAAGATTCTGTCTCCAAGGCTCAGAAAGGCTCTTTCCATGCCTATCCTACAAATGCTTCAAATGGCCGAGTATGGTAATGAGCAGCTGTAATCTCAGCAACAGCCAAGGTTCCTAAATTCAAGGTCAGCTTCACTAACTTAGTGAAATTCTGTCTCAAAATAAAAAGTTAAAAAAAAAAAAAGAATGAGGATGTAGCCCAGTGGTAAAGCACTCCTGGGTCCAATCCCAAGCATCCCAAAAAAATATTTCAAATGGGGATGTTTTATTACTGAATTCATCTGAGATGTGTATTCTCCAATTTTATAGATTCTGTGATCATTTATTTGTTGACCATAGGCATAATGTGACAATTCTGGCAAATAAATAATGCTCAGCAGGGGACAAGGCTGTGTCTTCTCCAGGCCCCTTGGAGTTACTGAGGGACCCTATACTCTGATCTATGCCTGGAGCATCTGCCAAAATATGATACAAAGAATTTGAGAACTCAGAGCTTGATTCCACACAGTTCTCCAGCAAAGGAGGAGACTGAGCTCCTTGTTATATTAATGAGTTCTGCTTTGACCCAGGAAAGAGGAGGAGGAGGGTATCAGAGAGAGGGAGAAAGGGAACAGGAAGGAGAGGGAGGGAAGAAGGAAGAAAAAGGCCAAGTGTACCCTTTGCCTAGTGCTGAGGCAACCTCTTGGCCAAAACTTACATGGACCTACTGATCTGGGTGCCAAGGTCCATCTTTGAAGTCAGCGTTGTAGTTTTATTTGCATCTGCTCTACACCTTTATAGTGATGGTATGGAATCATCACCTCTATGTGAACCCTACCACCCTGCTCAGTGTCAGGCAGGATCAGTTGCAAGACCATATGACCCGCAGGAAAGAATGTAGACTCCTGGCCAAACTCTGGGATATTAGTAAGCCTCTTGTCCTGTACATACCACTGTTTTTTGATCTGTAAGCTGGAATAAGAATGTCTAACCTCAACTGGGCACAATGGTGCAGGCTTGTAATCACAGTGACTTGGAAGTTTGAAGCAGAAGGGTCATCATTTCCAGGCCAGCCCAAGCAACAGCAAGACACTGTCTCAAAACATAAAAGGGGCTGTAGATATGGCTCAGTGGTAGAGTACCCCTGGGTTCAATTCCCAGTACTGCAAAGAGAAAAAAAAAGGAATGGTTAACTCCACACAGGGGTTGGAACCATAAATGTGAAGGTGCTTTGGGGCAAAAATAAGAGCACTCAATGTAAGTTAAAATATCACATCCAAGAGTGGGCTTGAAATGAAATAAAATTGGTTTGATCTCCTCCTGGGTTTGCTAATCTAAGAAAATAAAAACTGAATTCCAACAAGAGACATGAGTTCTCAGTCTAGCCATGACACAGTTGCCATGGTTACCCTGGTCCCTGTTATTTGTCCACTGAATCCTTCAGCTCAAATTTCTGTTGAGTATGGAATAAGGGCTCTCCATCAGACTTCCATAAAGTTCTCAGCATGATTAATAAAAAGTGATACAAATTTGAAATTTTATATACAGAGAAAGCATTTTTAAGGGAAACAAACCTGAAGCAATACAGTTTACCTCTTTCCAGGTAAGTTATTTGGAAGACCATGGTTAGCTGATACTACTTAGGAGACATCATTAAGCTGTAATAACTTAAGGTTTCTTGCAGACATCTCTCCTTTCCCATCTGCTGGCTGCATCTACTCTCCCCCAACCTCAGGGGTTTGGTCCAGATCCTGGTCTTGGTCTCAGTCTGAAGCACTGTCCCTCTCAACACTGTTTTTCAAACTACTGTGTAATCATAGACCACATTTCAGCAAGCTCACAAGGGCCAACATAAAATCAAATCTGGCTGGGCATGGTGGTACACATCT